TTTCCCTGCCGGAAGGGCTTCCTTGAACATTTTTTATATAGCTCTGGTCTGCTAGCAATAGATTGTTTTAGCTTTTTCTGTGTCTTTCTCTTTTGAAAGGTATTTTTGCTGGGTATAATAGGTTGATAATTTTTTCCTTTCCATACGTTCTAGATACTTCTTTACTGTCTTCTCACTTGTATCATTTCCAGTGAGAAATCCCTATCTTTTTCCCTCTGTAACATATTTTATTTGCTTTTAAGATTTTCTCTTTGTATACTCAGGGTTCTCCAGAGAAACAGAACAGAATCCATGTGAATGTAGAAAGATACTTGTTTTAAGAAATTGATTCAGGCAATTGTAGATCCTATCAGTTCCAATATCTGCAGGTCAGAGAACTAGGAAATCGCTGGTGCTGCACTTCGAGCCCCAAAGGCCAACTGGTGAGGAAATCACAGCAAGAAGCATTTTTGTTCTATTCAGGCCTTCACTTGATGGGGTAAGGCCTACCCATGTTCTAGAGAGAGCAATCTGCTTTACTCAAAATCCATGGAGTCAAATATTAATTTCATCTAAAAACATTCTCACAGAAACATCCAGAATAGTGTTTGACCACCTATCTGAGCATCGGGGCCCAGCCAAGCTGGCACATAAAATTAACCATCATACTCATTATTGCCAGCTTGGCGCAATTTCATTATGATGCGCTTCGGTGTAGCTTTGTTCATGTCTTTTGTGTTTGGCGATCAGTGAGCTTCTTGGATCCAAAGTGTATAGTTTTCTTCAAGTTTAAAAATGTTTCAAATATCTTCCTGTCCCTTTCTCTACCCCCTCACCTTCACAGGCCCTAATTAACCATGCGTTGGGTGACCAGAAGTTGTCTCACAGCTCACTGTGGTTCTTTGCATTTTCTCTTGTCTCCTTCTGTGTTTACTATGGATAATCTCTAATGTTAATACCTGCAGGGTTACTAATCTTTAATGTTTCGTATATTTTGCCTGCTGTTTTTTCCCAGTTATTTCAGGCGGGAAGGTAAGCCAGTTCTCGAGGCTGTGTCTCAGCTGGCGTTGGAGGCCCCTGCTCTTTCTCACCTCACTGCTTTCCCAGCATCTCCCACGTCTCCTTCTCCCCGCCCTCTGCCCGCCACCCTGCTGATGTAGCTCCTTTCTTTACAAAAACTAATGTCCTGCACACCACTCTCTCCCCTCTGTCTGCCTCCCCGGGGAAAGCAGCCTAAGTGCGGCCGTAGCCAAGGGGCCAAGGGGGAGGAGGACAGTCCGCCTCGCGCCTCCGCTCGTTCCCTGCCTCTCACCCCTCAGGTCGGTTTCTACGCTAACGCCACTGCAACTTCTGTCATCGGTCCTCAGTGACCATATATATCGTCACCACCGGTGATGGCCCTCTCTCAGTTGGAGACTTATGTTTACGCTGTTTAACACTTGTTCACGTCTGACTTATACAACGCCCTGTAGAACGGCCTGATGCCCGCCCCTCGTCTAATGCCGAGGCTGGAGCATAAGCTCCAAAGGGCAGGGATGCTCGTCTGTCTGTTCCATTCATCGATGCGTCCTCAGGGCCTAGGCCACGGCAGCCACGGGATAGGCACTCAGTCCTTGCGGACAGGGTGGCGACCAGCACTCGCCTTCCCGCTGCACCGAGCACCCCTCAGCGTCTGACCCACCCCGCACTCCGGTTCTCTCTCACATCCACAGCTCTGGCTGGGAGCTCTCCCATCGGCTTGTTGCTGAGCGCCTGGGTCACTGCCGGGAGGCCTGCCCACACCTCGACAGGATCCGTCCCAAACTGGACTCACCGTCTTTCACCTGGAACTGTCCCTGGAGGCCTCCCTCCTTCCTACCAAGCACTCAGTCCCCAGGCCAGAAGCCAGGTCAGGTGGGACTGTTCTCCCTCCTGCGCTCTCGATTCCCCGGCAGGACAGTCGCCCTTTCAGGACCCGTCGCCCGGACCCCAGCTCTCCACCCCCCGGAGAGCACGCGTCCCGGGTCCCCTCTCCACGTCCCAGGGCTCTCACAACAGCCTGTCCAGGCCCTCGCCTCGGTCACAACACGCCCTGCATCTCTGCATCAGGGGCCCCGGCCAGCAGGGCAGGACTCTCCGAGGGCCCCTCTGTTCTCCACCCCGCGCTCCTCCCCGCCCCCTGCTGACGGCCTGCCCGGAGCGCGGCCTGTCTTGCAGCCCCACGTTAGAAATGTCCGCTCTCTCTTGTAACCTGCGTTCTGCCAAGCACAGCACATGCCACGTGCTGCTCAGCACCTGGCACGTATTAAACCTTCAGCAAGTGTAAACCGTTCATCACTGGAATATTTACCTTCCTAACCTGGTGCAGGCTTCCAGGTGGAGAGATCGCCCAAGAGGCCTCCAAAACGGCACTGTGCCTGGTTCAGAAAGAGTGACTCACAGAAGCTCGATACCCAAAAAGTATCAGAAAAGCAACTCACACATAGTGTTATGCTTGCTTCCAAGAAAAGCTAAACATCATTAAAACCCTTACTAAAAGCAAATACAAAACATATTCTATAGCCATTTACAAATAATAAATTATAAGCATATTATTTACGGAATTTTTTTTTAACATCATAATTCCAAACAGTGTGTCTAGCTGTCGTGTTTCTCGTTCCTGGCTCAGAGAAGTGAAGAACAGTTACTCTGTGTTACCCGTACGCATTTTGGGGATAGTTATTTTGCTTTAAGAGAGCTAAGAAGTTAATAAAGCTCGTATAGTTACATAGCACATTTCTCAAAAGCTAGCCACAATTCCACAAACAGCAAACTGAGACGCGTATCAGAAATCCCGAGCCCTGGCTCCCACTAGACTTCATTTGAAGACAATGACCTGATGGCCCACCTCTGCCCCTCGCTCTGTGACAACAGCCGTGTCACCCCACCTTTGAGCCTCAGGTGATGAGCACAGGATATAGAGGAAGGACCTTCCGTGCCAGGCAAGGCTGCGGGAGGCTCGCAGCGATGCTGAACGCAGACACAACCAACCCAGCGTGGTGCCTGTCCACGCGCCCAGCGGCCCTCTGTGACTGCGCCCAAGCGAGGCTCTGGGGCACAAAGCCAAGGAAGGTGCTCTGCCCGGTGTCCAGGCCGGGGACACACGCGTCTACAGCAGGGTCGCAGGCACGGAGCTGTGGGAATGGGGACAACGTGCCCAGTGGGGGCGGGGAGGGGGCGGGCACAGGGAGCACTCAGTCTGGCTGAAGGGTCCAGAAGGCAGTGGCCGGAACGGCGTCCTGGTCATGGCTCTGCGGAGCTGTGTGCAGCCGCTCTGGTCTCGCCGGGCGCTGTGGCCCCCGCTCCTTTCCTTGCACCGACACCGAGCCGGTGTCTGTTCCTCACACGCCCACAGGTGCCTGCCTACGACTCTCAGGTCTGAGGAGCTCTCCACACTAGCACTTTCTCTCCGCTGCTCCCTTGGCGGCCAAGCCTGACCTGAACTGACATGCGGCCCTTGGCCCCCAGAGCTTTTCCTGCTGCTCAGAAAATCCCGTCAGCAACCGCGTCACCGCCCACCCGCCCACCCCCCAGCCCGGCCCCGTCGCCCAGCTTCTCGCCCTCCACACCCAGCCAGGCTGGGTGGCCCCGGGCAGGTGTCCGGTCCAGGCCCCCCTCCCCACGCGCCCTGCGGTCGCTGCCTCCGCGGACAGCCGGGCCAGCCGCCGCTCCAGTCCGGCCTTCGCAGCATGGCAGGTGCGGCCCGCCTCCAGCGACCACGGTCCGCCTGGTTTCTGGCTCGGTAGCTCGGACATCTCCGCGCGGCCTACGGCGAGGCCCACGTTCCTGGGCGTGGTACAAAGGGTGGCCACGGGGCAGCCGCCATTCACCTGTGAGCGGCTCCTGGCATCCTGCCAACCGTGCTGCGCAGACACACGGAGGTGTGGCTCCCGGGGCTGCCCATCCGTGCCTGGCCTCTCCGTCTTCACACCAGCGTTCCCTCGGCCCCGAAACCCCTTCTCCCACCTCACTTTCTTCCTGCCCGTCCCCAAGCGTACTGGTCCTCAGGGTCCAGCCTAGAACATTCCACCGTGCGTCCTTCCCTCCCCCATTCCAAGCAATGCTGATCACTCCTCCTGCTCCGTGAATTTCTGGACATGAACCTCACGTTGCCATGGGCCACAGACTGACCCTCCTGAATGCTGCAGCTATGCCCTATTCCCAGGCCCTGACACGGGATATAGCACATAGTAGGTGCTCAGGAAAGGCTGGCTGATTGAGCCGTCTTTCCAACAGTCCCAGACAACGCCTCGGCGGTGCCAGCTCCACCCGACAGGGGGTGCCCATCCCCGGCAGCTGTCCCTCCACTGCCTTCTCTTCTTCGTGCCCTCGCTCCTGCTTCAGTCTCAGAAGGAAAGGGCCAGCGTCTCGGCACTGACAGGTGATAGAAGCTCCAGGGAAGCCCTTGACATTTGGGGCCGGAGCCATCTTCGTGGTGGCCCGTCCTGTGCCTCACAGGACGGTCAGCAGCATCCCCAGCCTGGGCCCAACAGAAGCCGGTGGCACCCTCCCTCCCTGACAGTGCCAACTGCCCCCCGCGGGAGAACCCCGCCTGGGCCGACTTCCCCGGCCACCTCAGGGAGCAGCGTAGTCGCCCCGACCAGGTCCCGGCGCCCACGGCGCGCACTGACAGCATGGGGGAAGAGGGCGCCAACTCCACCAGCTGCACGGCTCAGGGGCTGTGTGACGAGCACACGCAGGCTCAGCGACACGTCACGGGAACATGGCCCTGGCGGGGCCTGCGCAGAACCCACTGTTACGGGAGCCGGACTTCAGGGTTCGGGTCAGCCTGTAGCGACGTTTTCCCGAGTGGGATTTACTCCGTGGCACCAACATGACCCAGCTGGGGGAGAGAGATCCACTCTGAAAATCAGATAGAGCATCTACAACTCCAGGGAACGGGCTGAGGCGCTGTACCCCAAAGGGAGGAGTGGGATGGGCCCCCCCAGACGGACAGGGAGCGAGGCCGCCAGCCGAGAGCGGGGCGGGCCCGCGGCACTCACCTGTGGTGGCCACGACGTCTTCGCGGCTCTCGCTGCAGAGCTGGGACAGCAGGCTGGTCTTGCCGGCGCCCGAGAGCCCTATGCACACCAGGTCATACTCCGGCCGTGCGGGTGGCGGTCCTTTGCAGCACAGTGCTCGAAAACACTGCCGAGAGAGAGGAAGGGGGCTCCTTTAATAAAAGCGTGGAGACAAGCAGAGCAACACAGTAAGCGAGTACTAAAAAGCAGGTGAAGAGCCTATGGCTCAGTAGGTAACATCAGTGTGGAGGAACCAGAGGCGGCAGCTGGGCCCAACGATCAGCCACCTTCCCCAGGAAGGACACAGTGCAGACTCCCCGCCCCTGCTGCAGCAGCTGCGCTGTGAGGGGCACGCCGTCAGGACCCCGCTTTGCTGCGCCCCGCGCACCCCCAGAGCTCGCAGGGTGGGAAGTGAGTTGAGGCACAGCAGCTCTGCAAGTGCTCCACACGGCAACCGGCCCACTCTCCAGAGCCGCCACGTCTCCAAGGCGCCATCCGGCTGAGGACGTGTTCCTGGTTACAGATGCCGGGGCGGGAGACTGGGGGGGCACCCTAACAGGATGCAGGGCCCCAGACGGGGCCTGGGGTCGGGCTGGGCAAACGACCCGCCGGCAACAGCCTTGCAACACGAGGTGACGGCGGCAGAGAGGCTGCAGGTTAGACAGCCGGCTGTGTGCGGGCGGCCTCCTGAGTCGGCCATCACGCTGTGGCCACCCAAAGGAAAGCAGGGTCCCAGAAAACACACACTGGAACCCCCAGAGGCAAAGGGTCTTGGCATCTGCAGTTAACTGGCTCAGAAAAATTCTCCGTCTCCGTGCGGTGGGGGAGTATAACGAAGCGCCACAGTGAAACGTCGGTGACGGCTAGTGACGCCGAGGGAACAGTCGACAGGAAAATTCCTTGTGCTGGTCTTACAGCTCTGTGACAGTATTTCAAAAAAAACCTTTTAAAAGTCGGTCCCTAGAGCCCCTGTGCACAGCACTGCCATCTGGCCTCTGCTAACCGTGGTCCGTGACTGTCACGAGGCCAGGCATCCCTGCGCGAGTCAAAGACAAGGGTGTCTGGGGCCCTGGAAGTCACTCACGCCACTGCTGCTCTTTCGACTAACCTGACACCCCTGTACCAGGAGCTGACGGTGCAGCAACTGGGGACGCAGACGCGTTCAGGCCCAGGGGCAACAGAAGGACAGAGAGGGAGGGGCCGGGGCAGGCCCATGCGCTTCCCTTGGAGACCGGGAGGTGTGCGGGCTAAGGAGCCTCTGCTCACTCTCCTCCCTCAAACTACGCCGGCCACCTAACCGCCACCACGCTCCCCGAAACGCGCTCCATCGTCCCCTCCCTCCTGGCTCGTGTCCACACAGCCAGCAGGCCCGGTCCCCACGGACACGCTCCCGGGGCGGCCTTCATCCCTGCCCCCACTCTTCTCCACGCGCAGCCCCTGCGATCGCCTGGGAAACCCGATTGTAGGTGCTTGGCCCCCGCCACCGCGACGACCCCTGCTCGTGGGCCAAGCCCTGTCGCTGCCCGCAAGGCCCTGCCCGGTCCCCAGCTTCGCCCCCGCGCCCGCCTCCCGCCACGCTGCGCCTCCCACACCTCCGCAGGCGCTGGCGCCACTGCCCCCGGCTCTGACCGCGCGAGCGCCTCCTCAGGGTGCGGGTTCTGCGCGAGTAACAGTCCTCGGGGCCGCCCGCCCTGGCCCTGAGAGGGCGCTAGAATTCGTGTCGCGCTGTCCCCGTGCGCTCATGGACTCTGCCCACAGGCTCTGCCGTTGCTTATTCCGCCGCAGACTGCCCACCTTCATCTCGGCGTCCCCGGGGCTGGGAACACACCCTCAGCAGGTCACTGTCGGATCAGAACTAGCAACACGCAAGCTTCACCCAAGGACAGAAGCGCCCACCCTGGGAGGACGCTTGACCTACGCTCGCTGGGCTTCAAGAAGAGAGTGTCGAAAGGAAAGAAACCCTGCACTTTCTTTCTCGCGTTGCTTCAACGCCAGAAGTCGGCCCAGTTCCCAGCAGAGCGGTTTTGACGGACAGACTCTCTTTTATCCATGTAATAGGGCTTCCTTCTGTCTCCAATTCCCTTTTCCTCGGCTTTTAAGAGGCTCTGCCTACTTCTGGTAAACAGCTCTGATCTAACCCATGTTCTTCGCCAATGGATTACACTCTACCCACATGTCCTCAGTTCGTCCCAGCCCGAGGGGTCCCGATGGCGTCTGTCTGCCTCCATGCGGCCGCCCTGCTCAGCCGTGATGCACTTCCGCACCGCCGCCCCGACCAGACCAAGGCCTGCGGCTGGAAGCGATCACGCGGTAGGTGCGGCCGCTGAGCGCCCCGGTCTGTGCACAGGCCAGCCAGCCGAGGCTGTCGGCTTCCTGTGAGCTTTCCATCTGGCAAGTCTCCAGGCTCGATGAGGGTGTTTGAAGGAGACAGACAGCCGTGTGCCATGGGTGCTCGTGGGTTGTGGGTAGGCGTGCACACCTGATGTGTGTATACGGTATGTAGATGTAGTATGTATGTGTGTGTGGTATGCTGTGGGTACATTATGTTGTGGGCATAAGCATGTGTAAATACTGTGTGTGCTGTGTGTGCATGTACGTAAAATGTGCATGCGTTTTGGGTGTGCGCATGTGTGTGCTGTGTGTCTTCCCTCGAGGACGGCCGCTGGCTGGCAGCTGCTCACTCAGGAGAGCCCGCCGGCCCCGCTGGGACAGGCCGCACGGCCGGTCTCGTCCCGCCGTGCCTGTGGCTTCCCTGCCTGGGCGGCTTTGATCTCGGCAGGAGGCGGGCCCCGTTCCTGCCGTGTCACCCTCTCTTGCTCACAGCCTCTGCCACAGTCCCACGAGGCCGCCTCTGACCACCCTGAACCAAACCCTCATCCGTCTTCGATGCAAAATGACGACTGCACCGCCCGGTTGAAAGCTTTCATGGGCCCGTATGACTCAACAGTTTGGCCAAAAGCTCCAGAACTCCGCCTTCATGTTCTTTTTAAAATCCAGAGTCTGAAAACTTCACAGACAAGCCCAACGATGCCTGCACCGCCTATTCCTGTATTCCCGGGCACCTAAGGCGCTTCTGCCATAAAAAGCAATTAGCAATGACATTCCACTCCACTCTCTTCTTTTATCTCCTTCGCCTCCCCCCGCAGCCCCATCACACGGAGGTTAAGAGCATCTGACATGACGTGTCCCCTTGCCCCCAATCTCTTTCCTGAAATTCAGGATCTGTGTTTCCAACTGTTCTGGAAGAACCCAGACTCAATCAGAATAAAACCACAGCCCCCACCCCACCCCACCCCATGCGGTACATGGAAACCAGGTATTCTGGAACATGAAATCCCAAAGGTTAGATGGACAATTATTACAGGGCTGAATCTTTTAAACAAAGCACAGAATACTTGAATAGTGATTTGAAATAAATCAATCCTATGGTTCAACAGAAATAGTATCAGGTTTTGAGCCGATTAAAAGAGGCTTTTAAGAACGTTATTTCAAGTGGGGGAAATAACGGCCATGCTTTTTAAGTCAGGTCCTAAAAACGCTATGAAGTTTGCACTTGTGTTTCGTTTCAAACCTTAATGAAGCCTTGGATCTCATAGTCAATTTATTTGAAACGACTCATTTTGGCCCCGAGACCACACTGCACCAAGTCCATTGTGCCTGCCTCCCGAAGCAGCGCCGCATTGTGCGGGGCGAGCGCCTTTCAGCGCGCACAATGCGGCGCACAATGCAGTCGGCCGGGCCGACAGCGAGTGGCGGCTCGGGCCTCGTTCCCAGGCCAGACACTGGGGCATTGTGCGCCTCCGTTCAGGCCCACGGACCTGCATGCTCCAGTGTCCTCGTGATTGACCGGTCACATCCAGCACTCCCCGTCGCCTCCCTTCTGCAGGAGGACGCTGGGAGGCGTTGCCGCCGTGCACGAGGCTCCGCGCAGGCGCTGTGCGTCAGGAGCGCGTCCTCCTGAGAAGCGCAGGTGACAGCTCGCTGCTCTGGGCAGGGACCCGGAGCCCGCCACGCAGCCCCGGCTGCGGCCCTCCCCCGTCAGCACACAGCAGCCCCCAGGCGCCCCGGCCCACCCTGTCTGACCCGAGACCCGACAGGCACACTGCCCTTAGCCCTGACGTGCAGCAGGGGCGGAGGGCGGGGAGTCCGCACTGCAGCCACGGGCAGGGCCGCCGCAGCCAGGGCCGCGGTCCAGTGGCCTGCAAGGCTCCGCCCACAGGTCTTTCCACCTCGGGTCACTGTGGACGCGCTCCTCTGCAGAAAACGCAGCGTCTCCCCTGCTGTGTCAGGGCACCGGGCGTCTCCCCGGGGCACCCGTCCGCAGACCGCCACCCACACTGGAGGCGAGGCACGGGGGAAGGGCAGGGACTGGAAACCTCTGTGTCAAGGACTTCGCACAAATCATACCTTTGGCTGAAAGGTGCACTGGCTAAAAAGCATAAGCAAAACCCTCGGGTATCTGCTTAAAGGAGAGCAAAGGCGCGTGTCAGGGGAAAATAAGCTAAAGATAAAACCGCAGGGGTAAAACGAGGCCGGCATTTCCTCTGGTGGCCGGGACCGCAAGGCTGTCCTCAAAGGTCCCCATTTCTGTCGGGGACAGGGCCCTGTCGCAGCAGGTGCTCACAGGAGAGCAAACTGCTTGGCAAACTGACCCTGTAAAGCACTAATTAGGCACTTAATTGGGTGTCTCCATTCCCTCCACATCTGCACCTTAACGAGTCCAGTTCCTTCCCAACCAAAACCACTCCCCGGTCCCTTCACCGGGGAGCCACACGCTTCCGGGCCTCTGCGTGCCGAACGGCCGGGGTGGGGGAGTGGCCGTCCCCCCGGCCCCACTCCAGGCGGCCTCCTCCAGCCCCCCCCCACAGCTCACCTTGCTCCCGCTCGCAGCCCCAGCTCCGCCCCCAGCTCCGCCGTTCCCGCTGTGCCACCTGCACTTTTTTTCCCGACTGTAACAATTCTCTGCCGCTGGGATCACCACACACGGATGCGAAGACATCAGAACCGGCTCGCGCTTTCACCTGCCCCTCCCCAGGGTGGCCAGCGGGCAGGGCTGCCAGGCAGCCTCCCGGAGCCGCGCTCCAAACCCTCGGCTGCGGCCGGGGCCGCCGCTCCGCCAGCACCGCC